AATGCTCTCAACAATTTACTGTCCTCCCCAGCAATATACTCTCCTGAGAACGCACATTATCAACCTAGGTTATATTTTGATTTTCAAATTATATTATATATCTACGTAGCATGGGTTATCAGGCCGGATAATCTGGTCGGATTATCTGACCGGATGATCGGGGGGTAGGATCATCCGAAAATCCGAATTATTAAAAAAAGGCATTAAAAAAAAAAGTGATACTGCGCATGCAAAATATAATAGAAGTACGTTCCTATTTCATGAAAAGCTTGATAGGACCTGGAAGGGTTCAAAGGGGATAAAATAGGGAATAAAGGGTTTTAGAGGAGGGATGCTTAATTCATTCTATAATTTTTTGTCTAAATATTATTTTCTTGTTCTGTTTTATTTTTTACCTTCATATCTGTTGAGTAATCAAAGATAGCCTCTAGCCAAAAATTGTTCATATCATTGATATGAACAACATAATGTTTTTCCAGATTTTTTTGAATTTGTTTTTTTGGTAAAAAATATTTTGCGCATGGCCGGATTTTCTATAACCGGATTAATCCGGATATCCGGATTTGCTACTTAGTTATATATGAATAATATTATATATATATCGATCGTCAAACAGAGCTGCCCGGTAAATCGTAGGCAGAGAGGGAGAAGAGGACAAGAGACATACACACAACTATATAATGTGCATACGTACATCCTTTTTTATTGCATTCTGTGAATTCATGCGTACACAGTGAAAAATTTAACAATTACACCCATTGATATATTACATATAGTGAAGGGGAGACATATACATAAAGAGATGGAGAGAGAGATCAAGTGATAGAGACGATGACTGATACTATTTCATTTTCGTGATTCGAAATAATTTTCTATAAACCTAATATGGATTTGAACCACCACTTTATTTGTTTTTTTCGGTTAAGTTTAAGGTTCAAACAATCAGCAATGCAAACAGTTATCCAATAAAAAAATTTACCGTTCTCGAGCAACACACGGATATAATGCGTACCATCGTTCACAACAAGTATTGATATTCAAATGCAACAAATAACCTTAGAACAATTGAATTATCGTAAAAAATATTATGAGATGCGCAATTCACAATTTCATCGTCGACGTTCAGTGTAGCTGGCCTCGGGTTGGCCTGTGAGACCAGCCCCTTGGCCTGCTCTCACAGGCCTGTGTTGTATTCGGGGTAGGCCAGTCCAGGCCGGTACCTCTGTCGGTACCAGCCAGTCCAGTCCAGGCCGGTACCTCTGTCGGTACCAGCCAGTCCAGTCCAGTCCCGTTAGTTTGCTGGGGTAACGTGTGCCGAGAGCAAGAAAGGCTAACAACTAATCAGATTTAGGGTTGCCGCCAAGAAATTCGAATTTTCAGAATAAATAAAAATAAATAAAATAAATCAAAAAATAAAAAAAGAAGGTGGGGAAGAAGATGAGAAAACTAACAACTAATCGGATTTAGGGTTGCCGTAGAGAAAATTGAATTTTCAGAATAAATAAAAAAATTAATGAAATGAATCAGAAAATCAGAAAAGAGGGTGGGAAAGAAGAGATTTCGAATTTTTGGAAAAGAGAAAAGATAAATCAAAAGAGAGGTAAAAAGAAGAAAAAAAAAAAAAAATTCGAAGTAGGGGGGAAGGCCGTGGGGGTAACGAAGTGCTGCCGAAATTTTCTGATTTTTTCTTACTTAGTCTTTTCGGCACACTTCGACCCCATGGGGGTAACGAAATGCTGCCAAAATTTTTGAAAAATCAGATGACCCATTTCTCCCCACCTCCTCACACACTTATTTACTTATTTATTTATTCATTATTTCTTTATTTATTTTCTGAATTTTTTTTTTTTTTATATTATTTGCGGCATTCCTAGTGTGCTCACCTTGGTCTCTCCCTTTCCCTTGACACATTCTTGACCCCGTGGGGGGTAGGGAAATGCTGCCGAAAATTTCAAAAAAATAAATATTGTTTCCCTTCATATCTCTTTAATTATTTCTTTAATTATTTTTATTATTTATTTATTTTCTTATTTATTTTTATTTTCTCTCGAAATCTCGCTGTTTATTTATTTTTCTCCCGTTCCCTTCCCCCCATGCTCGCTATTTTATTTTCTTGATTAGGTCACCGGTACCCTACCTTAGCCACTTAAACCTCGGTTAGGTTTTTCTTAGGGTTTTTGTAGGGTTTAGGGTTCCTCAAA